TGCTTAAACCTAGTATATATATATGTATGTATATAATGCTATCAAAGGATTTAGATGAGATACACAGCAATCAAGTGAAATTTGATTCTTTGCACGATCATGTTATAGAATTAAATTCGACAGGTGATCCGTTCAATACACTCCAAGTGTACTAGTGTCACTTTTAACTATTTATGTGATAAGACAAATCACAAACCCGAATAGTGAATCGGACAATACTATAACATTCTAATACAAGGTGACAACCCTTATATTTAGGTAGCGAACAATTTTTTTATGATCAAAATATAAGTTGTGTCACACTGAACTTCTCAAAGCAAGTACCCAACTTATATTTATCACAACTGATCATACACAATTTAATTCGCATGCTCAATAATTAAATAAATGAAATAAAAATATTGTTATTTTTACATCAGCAAAATTATACTATATGAGCACACAACTCAATAGTTTTCTCATCTAATAAAGTCTCATTCTCTTGTTTGTTAAATTGCGTTTAATTCGTGTTCATTTCTCGTATATTTTGGTTTTGCTCTGCGTTTGGTGGAATTATTTCCAAACAGTTACTAAAGGTTTTATGAACCAGTTTTCTGTACACAACAATTATCAATGAATGAATTGATTCAAGAAAAAGAAAACTATTAAAGTAGCGAGCTAAGATTAAGACAATGTCTTAAGAACACGAGCACTGAGGGAGACTGAGAACTTTCTTTAAAATTTGTTACCAGGAGAATCCTTATTTTCTATAGTCAATTTTCCACTATTCCAAAATTTTCTTCGTTTAATAAAATTAGAAAACTTCATGATATTATATCTCAATAATTGTCTGAGAACTTTTACTCGAGCTCGTTGGATCTTCGTAAATAAATCAAATTTAACGATCGAGTATTAGTAACAAAATAGTTCCAATTGTTAATGAAATCTATAGACCTTGAGAAAACTTAAGATTATGGACTCGTTTGAGCCCCATTATTTTGAAAAGAATGCATTTTTAATTAGTGATTGAGGGAGAATATGTGATTAAACAATAAGGTAATGTTTTGAATTTGCGTGTAATGTTATTTTATTGAACAATGTGCGATTAAAAAGAAGAGACAGAAAAATGTATTTTGAAAATAATGAGAATCAAACGGAGGCAAAGCTCGTTTTATTCAATATCAGAAACATCACTAGTAGGCAACAAAC